GAAGTCCTTGACCAGGATCTCTCTTTACATATCGAAGAACCCGAAGAACAGCCTCATAATGAGCTAGGCGCGGTGAATGCATGAATTGAGAAAGGATATGAACAACATAACTCAGGTCGGGTCTTGTGATAGTGAGGTAAATCAACTTACCAATGAGTCTTCTATACCGTTCAGGGTTCTCATATACTGGTCTGTCATCCAAGGCAAGACGATGATTTTGTTCTATGGGGGAAATCGCTGGTTTACATCCACTGAGCCCGGAATCAGAAAGAATATCCAGGGCATACTTACGCTGACATAAAAATATTCCTTTCTTGCTGCGGGCAATTTCAATACCCAAAAAATATTTCAGACTACCCAGGTCTTTTATTTTAAAACACTGATTCAGATATTCCTTGACTGCAAGACAAGCATGTGAATTATTACCTGCTAAGATGATGTCGGCGACATAAACTAAAAGTGCAAGAGACACCTCCCCTTTATGCATAGTAAAGAGCATGTAATCAGCTTTTGACTGAACAAATCCATATGCCGTCAACGAACTGCTGATTTTGGAAAACCAGTTTCGGGGTGATTGGCGCAAACCATGCAATGACTTTGTAAGACGACATACTTTATGCTTAGACCCAGTACTGAATCCAGGGGGAATCTCATGTAAACTTCCTCACTTATTTCTCCATTCAAGAATGCGTTATGAACATCAAGCTGGTGCAACTCCCAGTTTCTTGCTGCAGCCACTGCAAGCAATGTACGTACACTCACCATCTTTGCCACTGGTGCATAAGTCTCACTGTAATCTTTCCCGGCAATCTGATAATTACCTGCAATCACCAATCTTGCCTTATACCGTTCCACCGTTCCATCAGAACGATATTTTATTTTAAACACCCACTTGCTTGGAAGAGCACGCTTCCCTGGAGGTAAATCCGTGAGGCACCATGTATGGTTGTCTTCTAAGGCTGTGATTTCAGCCCTCATGGCTTCCACCCATCGGGAGTCTCTCATAGCATCTTGAAATGTACGTGGTTCATGACCTGTGTCAATAGCTGCAACAAAATCTTGATGTTGCTTAGAAAAGTTAGTGAGGCTAAGATAATTGCACATAGGATACCGAGTACCTGAGGTGACATTGGTTTGAGTAGGGAGAGATGAAGGAGTGTGTGTTTCAGCTACTTGACATGCATAGTCCTGCAAATAAGATGGCTGCTTCCTGGTACGGTGCTGGCGTGTGACTGTTTGACGCAGATTTGCTTCCAGCAACAGTTGTTGGGTTGATGCATCACTAGAACTCGAACTTCTTTCTAGTAAGGAGGACTCCCTAGCGGCAACTTCGTTAGTTGGTGTTGCTTCCAGCGAAACACTCCCCCTATCGTCCAAAGGAACACATGATCCACTAGGCGTTGGGCTGTCATTTGATGCATCAGAACCGTCATGGACAATTTAGCCTTCGTCAAAGTAATTTGGTTCTGTAGGCACACGAGAATTTGGTGCAGAAACAGATTGTACTGGAGCTTCGCGAAAAGGAAAAATATTTTCAAAAAATTTTACATCCTTGGACACAAAGCTTTGTTGCGCTTCTATATCAAACAATCTCCAACCTTTCTGCCCTATTGCATATCCGAAGAAAACACATCGTCGCGAACGTGGAGCAAACTTGTCAGTTGGTTTCCTCTTGTATTAGCAAATGACAGACAACCGAACGTGCGCAAGTATGTATAATCTGGTTTAACTCCATGCAATTCTTCATGTGGTGACCTTCCTTGGAGAACTTTTGTAGGTGTTTTATTAATTATATGAACAGCAGCAAGAATACTCTCCTCCCAAAAATCAACAGGGAGATTTGCATGAAATAGTAAGGAACGTGATACATTAAGATGTGTCTATGCCTCCTTTTGACTCTCCCATTCTGTTCAGGCGTATAAACACAAGTTGTTTGTTGCAAAATACCTTTTTCATTCAAGAGTTTCACCATGTTATTAGATTTGAACTCAGTACCATTATCAGACCTTATTATTTTTACGATTTTACCAAATTGGTTCAGAACCATAGCAAGAAATTTGCACATCCGATCATAAGTTTCACTTTTATCGGCCAACATAAAAACCCATACATGCCTACTATAGTCATCCAACACAGTTAAGAAATAACGTGCACCAGAAGAAGAAGAATTTTGATAAGGACCCCAAGTGTCACAATGGATTAAATCAAAACATTCTTTGCTGCGAGAAAAACTTATAGGAAACATTGATCTAGTTTGCTTGGCACGATGACAAACTTCACATGCCTTACATACTACTTTATTTTGCAAAGCTTTAAATTCTGGAACCAGAGATAAGATATCATAGGATGCATGGCCTAGCCTGTTGTGCCACAAGTCAATTGACTCTCCTGCTTGAACTACCGAAGCTGAAGCACATGAAGGCTGAAACACATAGACTCCTTCATGATGTTCACCCAAACCAATCTCCCTCTTCAGCACTTGGTCCTGCAAAATGCACTTTTTATCAGTAAATGTAATGCTACTGCTCTTGGAGTGAAGCAATTGGGAAACAGAGATGAGATTGCAGCGTAGGTTAGGCACATATAAAACATTTGACAAGCTGAAGTTTGTATTAAACACCATCGAGCCTTGTTTTGCAGCATAAGTAATAGAACCATTTGGTAGAGTCACAGATAGAGGGGGAATAGGTGTAATGTCAGCTAATAAAGCCAAAGTGCCTGTCATATGACGTGAGGCCCCACTATCAATGAGCCATTGAGAATGAATACGCTTACCAGATAATTTTTCATGTGACTGAGGCTGGTCTACCAATGTTAACAGTTTGTTCACAATTTCTGGGGTCAAAACAGAGTGTGCAGCAACTTGAGAAGAGGCAGAATGGGAGACGTCTGGAGGAAGAGAGTTAGCAGCAACTGGGTGTGAGGCATCCATTGCAAACATCGCATGAGCATGCGTATAACGTCCTGTCGAACGTCCTCCCCTTCCTCGTCCGCGACCAGCACTCCTGTTTGGTGGAAAACCATGAACGTTCCAGCATTTGGAAGGGTCGTGATTGGTCCTGCCACAATGAGGGCAAGGTATTCTGTCTTGTGGTTTGTTAGGAACCATCCGCTGCTGCATGGACGTGTCTGACTGCTTCATGGAATCGGTTTGGGCTGAGTATCCCACTACCTGACTCCTCTCATCTTGAACGCGAGAAATACTACGATGGGTCTCCTCTTGAGTGACAATTGCATACACTTTGTTGACACTAGGAAGAGGAGAAGTGTTGAGGATATGGGATCTCAGATTGCCAAATGTAGATTCATCCAGCCCCATCAAAAATTGATAAACGCGATCATGCTCTTGCTCCTCCTCGATTGCTTTGGCAATGGCACACTTATCACCACAATCGCAAGACTTGCGAGTTTTACTGCCTTCCAGATCGTCCCATACAACCCTGAGTTTGGTGTAATAATCACCAACGCTATCTCCATGTTGCTTGACATTGGCTAAACTGGATTTCAGTTGATACTGTCTTGGAAAGTTTTGCACTGCATACCTTTCCTCTAGATCATTCCATAAGTCCTTGACGTCATCAAAGCACTTGATGAATGGTTGAAGTTTTGCATCAATGGTGTTGTGAATCCAACCATTGAGCATCGAATTGCACATCTCCCAGGCGCGCCACTCTTCGGCATCATCCTCTCCTGGTTTCTTGACTGAACCGGTCACAAAACCCAATTTGTTTTTCTCCTTCAATGCGTTTTTCATAAGCTTGGCCCAGTTGTCATAGTTGGCCTCACCACGCAGCATGACAGTCGTTAACAAGAGACCTGGACTGTCGGATCCAGCCAAGTAAAATGGCGAACTAGAATCAGTTGTTTTGGACTTGCTGCCACCACCTGGTGCCATGTTAAATGAACCAGCTTTCGCACTGAAAGGGAATGCGGAAACGTGTATACTAGGATTGCTCCGATACCAAGATAAACTTGATATTTCAACTGTGTGTTTATCTCATTCATTGGTAGCCTTCAAATAGGCGAACATACAATAAATGGTTAGCACAAGAACAACGATTTGCTAACAGCTAACAACGTAACAGACTAAAACAGATAAATACTCTATCTAAACAGTCCTACGGTTACAAAGAATTCAAACCTACGGTTACAAAGAATTCAAACAATATACGTTACTGTTACATATAATCTCCAACAATGAACGATTAAGGTTTGATATTAAACTTTTTAATTTGACACTGGTGTCAAAGGATCTTATATATATGTATATATATCTGTGTGTGTGTGTGGTGGGGGGGACATAATCCTTTGACACCGGTGTCAAAAAAAGATAAAATTTCACTACAGGAAAAATGGGATTTGGAGTCGGTTCATTTTGTCCTTAGCTGCGGTTGTAACAGCCGCAATATATTTCTACGACATTTCAGAACCGACTTTAAATTTGGGGTCGTTAAAAATTTCAACGTCGATTTTAGAAACCGACGGAATAACCGACTTTAAAATCAAAAGGACGTTATTCGTGTAAAACCGTCGTGAAATAAACTGATTGAATAAGCCTACAATATTTTTCGATTTCAGCTACATTTTTTTTAATTCAGATTAATTGTTTGCATTTTTTATATTATATTTATTAATATCGTTACACAAAATTAATTATTGATTGATCAAATAATTAAGTCTGTCAATATTATATCATGAAATTCATGTAATATAAAATTTAATCCCAAAAATAATGAGAAAAATAAGATATCAATTAAATTAATAGATGAGTGTTCAGAGACACTTTGAATAAATGCCTCAAAAAAATATTTTTTTCATAAAGAATAATTAAATATACAAGACCGACAAAAGTGAAAGTCATCAATTTAGACATTCGAACAAAACCAGTAATATCATTAAATTATAAATTAAACCAAGAGAATAGCAAAATCATTAACATCAATATGTAATAAATATAACAAATACCAATACAAGGTGTACACCTGATACCAAATGTCAATAAGAATTTTAAGCAAAGCAAAAATTAATGTGGACCTACAACGAATAAAACTTGTTAAAAAATGTTAAAAAAACAATAATAATGAAGTGAAAAATAAATAAATAAATATTGACTATCCAATACTAATAAGTATATGCTACTCATCACTCTGTTTCATCATCATCAGCTGTATTCTCTCTCAATATTTTGACTCCCATGTACCTGCACCAAATTTGAAAAAATAAAAAAATAATAATAATAAAAAAACAACCATCGTTAACATAAAGCAGCTACACACACACACGTACAATGGATATTATACCCGCCGAGCATCATTATAGCTGTATTAAGTCTCAAAGCAATGCTTGTGAGAAAACCATGTCAAGAGACCAAAATATTTACGTTCTGGCCCATATATTGATGACTTATAATATAACTCCAAAACCAATATTTACCTTCTGGCCCATATATCCCTTCTTTGTACCTCCTGCAAAAGAGGAATGGAAATGGAAGTCACTATTAATTAAAATATGAAGTATGCGAACCTGTAAATAATGTTTATGTCAGACATATTATAAATATGAAAACAAGGAGAGAATCAAAAGACAGAGAGTGAGAGAAAGAGAAAGACTGAGACAAGGACATTACCCATTTCTCCACTTTAAAAGGCCAATTGTTTGTGGGTGCTGGAGACAACCAAGAACTTGAACCTGGTCACAAAAGGATAACTTTAGTTGAATCAAACAAACACAAAAAAAACAGTTGAGAAAGTTTACAGTTAATTATAGCATAACAAATCTCAATTTACTAATGTGAGGAAAGAAATAAATATTTATAAAAACCCAAAGGCCTCAAAATCATGCTTCCACCTCCAATCCTCTCAAGCCATCCCAAAATCATTTTAAGATAACAATTTCAAAAGCAGAAAGACCATTATGAACTGACCTCTTGATAAAACTGAGGTACTTGTATGTTATATGGATGGAACTTCCTTATAGCAACAGTCCTATCCAACATTTCTAAAATACATAAGACAACATACTTGATGCCTCGTGACTAGCAAGAATAATAAATGCAAAGACCAGAAGCTTTCTGTGGCTACAATCTCAGGTTGAGTACATGAAGATAAAGAACATGATGTTTCAGAAGCCTCTCTTGTACGAAGGGTCTGGACCATGAGAATGTCCTCCCAAGTACACAATGTAGGTCTGAAACAGAGAATCAAAATCAAACAATCGGTGAAATGTTACTTAGTACAAAAACCAAATATAAATTTGGAAATTCTCCAAGTTAATTGAAACTAGGAAATCAGATACTTGAATTGGAAGTCATAATCAGCGGAGTAAAAACCAAAAGACACTAGCCTTTCTAAGGGCATTTGCTCTCAATGGAAGTGGCTTTCCTGTATGCTGTCATAAAAAGAAGAAAGGAGAGGCAACAACATACAAAGAAATTAAGTCATAATGGAAGGAAAAAGCTAAGAATAGAGTAATATACATAGAAATCATGTGTTCATCACGCACCTTCGTCAAGCCCTTCAGAAGAAAACCAAAAGAAAATCTTTGATGACTAAGGTTCATGGATATATAAAAGATGAGGGTAAGCAAAACAAAGCAATCAATTTAGTTCACCACAAAACAACACAATCCCTACAGATATCAGCATCAAGAAGCTGAAAATAAATCTGTGAGAAATAAATCTAGAGAAGAAAGGGGTGGACCCATAGACTTAATGATAATCCGAGATAGCATATCAACCTGAATCTGCAGTTGGGACCCTTCCATCTCAACAAGCTTCATGGGGTGTCCTTGAATCCTGAAGTTAAGTGAGTCCTTAAGACCAATGTTACAGATTCTGTATTTATAAGTCTTACCAGGCTCCATTGTGTAAAGTGGTTCCAACGCACCGTTTTTACCGTTAATATGAACACCTTCAGGACTTCCAAGAGAGCGAACACTATCCAAAAACTTCTTCGAAATGGGGAATTAAATAAAACAAGCAATTCTTATATGCCAAATTTTCATTAATTTCATTTAATGTGAACCAAAGTATGCAAGAGCTGACATATATAATACTTGAGCAGCTTACCAGCTCTAGCTTCATCAACAGGGGTGGGTTTTTGACTCCTAAGCTCATCTGTATGCCATATTGAAGTCATCTCTCTCACCTACCAAATCAATTATGATTTATGAAAATAAAAGAAAGATTTTCAGAAAAAATCTCTGCCATGATCACAATACTTGTCTACCTCATATTACATTTATCAGTGTCACCCAATTTTCAGTGTATAGTAGATAGCCCAGTGGTACCCTCCAACCGTGAACCTCATATATACAATTGTGAGTGTATAGGATCACGAACTTGTGCGATCCGTTCACCGTCTGCGTCACAGACCTCAAACTCATCGGCGACGATAGCACCGCCACCCTCTCCGTCGTCAAGGCTCCGTCCATGGCGGTGCCCCTAATGGAATGCGAAATTCATGCGATGCGGAACAGGAAATGAATTCCCCAATCGGAATTGAAAGTGAAATTTAAATCAAACAATTAAAGAGTTCAAAAGTCAAACTTACGATTGGTAAAAAACGTGCATATGGAGGAGAAGCGAAAGAGAAAAGAGAAATAATGAGGTACGGTCACCATTTTGGCAAACTATCCAGACCCTAGCAGGAAAGATGAAGAAATTAGAATGAAACATTAGTTAGAATCGTAGGAGAAAAAAAATGAAGAAATCAGAATTAAAAAAAGGCTAGTGTGTGTTATGAGAATTTGAGAACGAGGAAAGAGGGCTGAGAATTTGAGAGAGGAAAGAGCGAGAGAATAGTGTGGTGTCGTTTAGCGCTGCTATTCGTTTTTAATTGTATAATAAAATTTATTATTTTTAAATTTTTTAAGGCATATAAATTGACCGCTTTTCTTGTGGTGTAAACCCAGTCATCCTTTTATAAACTTAATCAGCGGCGTTTAAATCAACCGACTCCAAATCTCGTGTTTCCTGTAGTGTTTGATATCTCATTTGAGAGTTATTGACCTTGCCTTGATCTAATGATTCTGATTTATAAGCATGTGGCACCATTGATTTGCATTAATCTAACAACTCTCGGATGAGATATTAAACTTTTTGTTTGTCACTTGGTCCCTATGATCCGCAATAGTGACAGACAATTTTATTCTACTACGGACGCAACAAATTGGGGCCAATTCATTTTTTTTTTTAAAAAAGAAAAGAAATTTTTCAGGTTCTACATGTGAATCCTGAGATATATAAAAAAAGTTTGTGTATGTGGTAAACAAAAGTATTTAAGCCGCAACTGCAAAAATTTTGCCATATATATATAGTTACCAAAAAAAGTTTTATTTTATTTTTTTAATATTTAAGAGTCTCAAAATCTATTGGTTGAGCAAACTGACACCTTTTCAAATGAATAAATTGCTTAGGAAAAAATGTGCAATGAATAAATAACTTAATTCATTTCTGGCATAATCTATAAAGTAAATTGTTTAGGTGTGTAATCAACCCTTCATATTTTAGTGTCTCCTTTGGAGTTACATGAATGTCGACATGATGTCACTCTGGTTAAAAAGTATACCTCGGAATATTCACTATAAGTTTGGACAAATCAGAACATTGCAGACCTTTACATATCTGTCCTTTTATGCCTTCACGATAATGCGTGCAGCAAGAAACGTACAATTAGCTGCTTATTTCTATAAATTTGGCTTTTATGCTTAAGAACTACTACTATTCAAGACAATGAAACATATGCCGCCCAAGTTCAATCAATGATAGAGCCATAAGAGAACCAAGCTTAATAAGAAATTGAATCTGGGCATCAACACTTATTTTAAGCCGGCATGGTGTCCGCCATTTTAAAAGTTTTTATTTGTCCACTTTGATAGTCTCAAGCTATGGATTCACACACGAACAAGAGAATTAAGGAAATGCAACATCAATTATATTTTAGCAATTCGAGTTTGCTGATTACTCCTGAAATAGAGATGAGAAAGAAGACAAAGTTTGTTATAGATTTTAGCTAAACCCCTAACAGTCACCCTCTCACCTATTATACTCAACAGAATAAAACGAAATGGGCTAAAGACGCAAAGGCCCAAAAATACAGTCACTGTCTTAATGAACCACACCCAGCCCAAGTCATACATGCTGAGCAGTTCCTTGATCCATGTCTTGACACCTGCTAGCCACGTGTGCCCATTACATAATCCTTGGTCCACCTGGCTTAAAGCTTGGCTCTGTCACCTCTCCTCAGCTGAACCACTCCTCTCTTCTCTTGTTCCTTTATCCTTGTTTCTGCCTCCTCTCTGCCCTGTAGGTTCATCTCTTCTCTTTCGATTCGAGGGTCCCTATCAATTCCCTCCCCCCTTAAAGAGTCGATCTTGTCCTCAAGATTGAATTATGGAAAGGCTTGGCAAAACTCTGACGTTGACATCCATGATGCGTCTTCCAACGGCAAGCCGCGCCACTAAACCAGGACCTGCAAGTCCGAGCCTTTTCCACTGGAAATGGTCCGAGAACGCACTATAGCTAGTGGATCTGTCACTGGATGGTTCTCCCATGTTTCCGGTGGAAGTGGTTGTGGGTGAAATCAGATTTCTGACGGAAAGCCTTGAGCAATGAGACGTGAAATACAGGGTGGATTTTTGACCCTTCAGGGAGTAGTAATCTATACGCAACCTGTCCGATGCGTTCTGTTATCAGAAACGGGCCATAATACCTGCGGAGTAGCTTAGAGAAGGATTGGTTCCTGACCGACTTCTGACGATAGGGTTGGAGCTTGACCAAAACATGGTCGCCTACTGCATACTGTATGTCACGGCTGTGCTTGTCAGCTTGGTTCTTCATCCGCTGACGAGTCTGGTGCAGATTCTCCCTAAGATTCCGAATGATAGCATCCCTTTGTGTCAGAAGGGTCTCCACAGCTTCAATCGGTGATGTTTCACCCTCGTATGGTTGTAAGGCAGGGGATAAATGACCATAGAGGATCTGGATCCAATGGAAGAATGATACGATGAGTTATAAGAAAACTCAGCCCACGGTAAGTACTGTACCCAACTCCGTGGATTTTCCATTGCATAGCAGCGTAGATACTGCTCTAACCCCCGATTAGTAACCTCGGTTTATCCGTCACTCTCAGGGTGGTTCGCAATGCTGAAATGAAGGCGTGTTCCACTCAACCAAGACAACTCTTGCCAGAACTTGCTGATAAAGATGAGGTCTCTATCTGAGACGATTGAACGAGGTAGTCCATGGTGTCTACAGACCTCTAAGACAAATACGGAGGCCACCTCTGAAGCGGTAAAGTTGCTGGCCAAGGCTGAAAAATGGGCGTACTGAGATAACCTGTCCACCACCGCCATGATGGATGTCTTTCCTTCCGACTGGGGAAGTCCCACTATGAAATCCATTGATAAATCCTCTCATTCGGCATGTGGAATGGCTAGCGGTTGGAGGAGGCCAGCAGGGGATAATGGTTGATATCTAGTCACTTGACACACTGGGTCGGTTCGAACGAACTCTTGAACATCATGTTTCATGTTTTCCCAATAATAATGTGTGGATATTTGACGCAGGGTTTTGCGTACGCCTCCATGTCCTCCAATCACCGTGGAATGAAATTCATGTAGCAGTGTGGTTTTCAAGTCAGAATTGCTTGCTAATACAATCCTACCCTTGTGAAAAATCAGCCCTTCTTTTAAAGTATAGTGTTCATACCCTTCTCTATGTTCCTCAATTGCCTTGCTTAATTTGACTAACTCTGATCTGCTTGTGACTTCAGATTTAATGGAGTCCAGTAAGGGTTTAATCAGAGTGGACAAGGTGAATATGATATTCTGATCCGACACTTCCTTCTTTTCTCCTTCATGAATCCTGGACAACGCATCTGCCACTTTGTTAATAGTCCCCGGATAATACTCAATGGTATAGTCAAATCCTAAGAGTTTCACCAGAAACCTTTGCTGCTCTGGCGTTTGAATTACCTGAGCCATCAGCTCCTTGATGTTGTGCTGGTCGGTTCTTATTATAAACTTATTGCCCAACAGGTATTGAAAATTTTTTGCCACACTCTCAGTTATGGCAAATAGTTCTCTAACATACGTGGATGCTTGCTGCATTTTGTTTGACAGCTTGCGGCTAAAATAGGCTATGGGCTGATTATTCTGGTTGAGCACTGCTCCAATCCCAACCCCAGACGCATCAGTGGTCAACACAAAGGGCTTACTGAAATCCGGCAGTGCTAGAACCGGTGGATTGGATAGAACTTCTTTAAGTTGTTGCATACGTTGGGTTGCCTCATCATTCTACTGTAAGCCATCCTTTTGGAGGAGTGTGGTTAAGAGAGCTGCTAATTGAGAGAATCCTTTTACAAACTTCCTATAGTACCCAGCCAGCCCAAGGAACCCTCTTAGTTGCTTTACCGTCGTAGGTGTCTTCCACTCTTTGATTGCCATTATTTTCTTCTCATCTGGCTGTACTCCTGTTTCCCCAACCACATGCCCCAAGTATTCCACCTCTGATTGGGCAAAAGAGCATTTTTATTTTTTTGCATACAGTTGGTTCTTCTGTAAACACTCAAGCACTGCACGTAGATGCCCCAAATGGTCCAGTATGGTCCTGCTATATACTAAAATATCGTCAAAGAAAACAATTACAAATTTTCTTAAAAAGGGTTTAAGTACCAAGTTCATAATTCCTTGGAAGGTAGCAGGGGCATTGGTGAGGCCAAAAGGCATAACCACGGACTCGTAGTGGCCTTCATGGGTACGAAATGCAGTCTTATAAATATCTTGCTCAACCATCCTAATTTAGTGGTAACCTGATCTCAGGTCCAACTTTGAAAACACTGTGGCTCCTGCTAGTTCATCTAGCAATTCATCCACCGTAGGAATTGGGAGCCGATTGGCTATTGTCACTTGGTTAAGAGCTTGGTAATCTACATAAAACCTCCAGGTCCCATCCTTCTTCTTGACCAGCAGGACAGGTGATGAAAATGGACTAAGGTTGCAACGGATTACCCCAGATTCCATCATCTCTTTGACCATTTTTTCTATCTCAGTCTTTTGAAAATTGGGGTATCTATATGGTCTAACATATACTGTTGTGGTTGCAGGTTCCAAGTGAATGCGGTGATCCTCTTCACGGAAAGGGGGCAAGTTGGACGGTTTCTCAAAAATGTCTGCAAATTCTTGCAGGACTTGCTGTACACGGATGTCCAACTCTTTGTCCTCGGAAGGAACAGTCCCCATGATGTCTTCTGTAACACCTCGTGTTAACCCGATTTGTTAACATGTCATCGTATTAAGTCACGCTTAATTAAAATTTGCAGAATATCTTTTTCTGTTCAATTATGACGTCATTATCATTACCAAGTTGAATTACCTAATTCATTTTCAAAACATTGCATGTATGTAAATTGCAAATAGACAGCTAACTAAAATACCTCATAAATAAATAAGTGAGTAACTAAGTAACGGATCTACAACACGTAGTTCGGACATGATCCTGATACAATTATACAACTTGAAACAACTAAAAACATAAAGTCAAGTCAATGTGGAATGGACAACCCCCATGCTCACCAAATAAGGCAACAACGCCCAACGGCAGTCTCAAATCAAATAACATGACGGTAAAGATAAAGCAATGTCAGCATCCAGCAAAATCATCATAATAGATGCAATCAGCTAAGCTCCGGCCTCTTGCCGCTAGAGGTCTCAACCCCTGCATTACCTGAACCTGAAATATGTGCCCCAAACGTGGGGTGAGATCTCTAAA